TTGCCAAAGTTGCTTATCATCTTAAGGAGATTTTGGGCTGAGATGATGGGGTCTTCTAAATATACGGTCATGTCATCTTCAAATAGAGACAATTTGATTTCCTCTTTTTCTAATTGAATATGCTTTATTTCTTTTTCTTACCTGATTGCTCTGGCTAAAAATTCCAATACTATGTTGAATAGGACTGGTGAGAGAAGGCACCTTTGTCTAGTGCCAGTTTTCACAGGGAATGCTTCCAGTTTTTGCCCATTCAATATGATCTTGGCTGTGGGTTTGTCATAAATAACTTTTATTATTTTGACATACATTCTATTGATACCTAGTTTATTTAGAGTTTTTTTTTTTTTTTTTTTTTAGCATAAAAGGCTGTTGAATTTTGTCAAAGGCCTTCTCTGCAACTGAGATAATCATGTGGTTTTTGTCTTTGGTTCTGTTTATGTGATGGATTATGTTTATAGACTTGCGAACGTTGAACCAGCCTTGCATCCCTGGGTTGAAGCCTACTTGATTGTGATGGATAAGCTTTTTGATGTGCTGTTGCATTTGGTTTGCCAGTATTTTATTGAAGATTTTTGCATAGATGTTCATCATAGATATTGGCCTGAAGTTTTCTTTTTTGGTTATGTCTCTGCCAGGTTTTGGTATCAGGATGATGTTGGTCTCATAAAATGAGTTAGGGAGGATTCCCTCTTTTTGTATTGTTTAGAATAGTTTTAGAAGGAATGGTACCAGCTCCTCTTTGTACATCTGGTAGAATTCAGCTATGAACCTATCTGGCCCTAGATTTTTTTTTGGTTGGTAGGCTATTAATTGCTGCCTCAACTGCAGACCTTGTTATTGGTCTACTCAGGTATTCAGCTTCTTCCTGGTTTAGTCTTGGGAGGAAGTAAGTGTTTCTTTTAAAAGAAGCAATCTTATATGTAAGTTATAAAACATAATAAAACAACAAAAATACATCCACATTGCTCAAGTTTAAAACATAGAACACAATTAATATTTTTGTGACCCTCCCTGAACCTATTATTCTCCCTCCCTTCCATAATTAACCATAATTCCAAATTTTGTGTTAACCTTTATGGTTTTATTGAAATTGTATGTGTCTTTAATAAAATTAACAATTAATATTCTTTGAGTGCTTGCTTTTTGTTAGACACTATTCTAAATCCTTTACCTATTCACATGATTTGGATGTTAGTCACCTCGAAATCTCATGTTGAAATGTGATTCCCAGTGTTGGAGGTGGGACCTGGTGGGAGGTGATTGCATCATGGGGGTGGATTCCTCACAAATGGTTTAGCACTCTCTGCTCAGTGATGAGTGCATTCTCACTCAGTTCACAGGAGATTTGGTTATTTAAAAGAGTCCAAGACCTCCCACTTTTCTCTCTCTGGCTCCCACTCTCGCCATGCGATACTCCAGCTCCCCTGTTGTTTTCCACCATGATTGGGAGCTTCCTGAGGCCTCACCAGAAGCAGATGCTAGCATCGTGTTTTGTACAGCCTGCAGAACCATGAGCCAATTAAAACTCCTTTCTTTATAAAATTACCCAGTCTCTGGTATTCCTTTATAGAAATGCAAAAATAAACTAATACACCTGTGTTAACTCTAATCCTCACAACAACCATATGAGGTACATAGGTAAACTTAGGCACGAGAAGTAAGTGATTTGCTCAGAATCACATAGTTCATAAGTGGCAGACCCTGGTTTCAAACCCAGGCAGTCCAGCTTAAGCTTCTGTACCCTTAACCATTAGCTATCTACCTCCTCTAAATAATATTTGGGCACACTTCTTTGCACTTTACAGATATTGCATCTTTTACAAATTGAAGGTTTGTAGTCACTTTCCATTGAGAAAATCTATGCATACAATTTTTCCAACAATGCGTGCTCACTGCATGTCTCTGTACCACATTTTGGTATTTCTCACAACATTTTACTTTTTTTCACTTTTATTGTATTTATTTTGGTGATCTGTGATCAGTGATTTTGGTGTTATTATTTTAATTGCTTTCAGGTGCCACAAACAGCACTCATATAAGACAGTGAACTTAATCTATAAATGTTTGTGTTCTGACCATTCCCTTGACCAGCACTTTGTCCATTTCTCTCCATCTCCTCAGATTCCCTGAGACACAACAACATTGAAATTAGGCCAGTTATTCCCCTGACAATGGCCTCTAAGTGTTCAAGTAGAAAGGAAGAGTCACATGTCTCTTACTTTAGGGAAAAATCTGAAATGTTTGAGCTTAGTGTGGAAGGCATGTCAAAAGTTGAGATTGGCTGAAAGCTGTGCTTCTTGGATCAATTATCCAAGTTGTGAATGCAAAGGAAGAGTTCTTGAAGGAGATTAAAAGAGCTACTCCAGTGAACACATGAATGAGAAGAAAGCAAGATAGCCTTATTGCAGATATGGAGAAAGTTTTAGTGGTCTGGACAGAAGATCAAATTATCCTCAACATTCCCTTAAGCCACAGCCTCATCCAGAGCCGGCTCCAATTCTGTTTAATACTATGAATGATGAGAGAGGTGAGGAAGCTGCAGAAGAAAAGTTAGAAGCTATGAGAGATTGAGTCATCAGACTTATGTTCTCTGTGCCATAAATGTGCAAGGTAAAGGAGCAAGTGTTGATGTAGAAGTTGCAAGTTATCCAGAAGATCTAGCTAAGATCATTAGCAGATTTTCAGTATAGATGAAACAATTTTCTGTTTGAAGAAGATGTCATCTAGAACTTCCATAACCAGAGAGGAGAAACAAATGCCTGGCTTTAAAGCTTAAGTCTATAAAGGACAGGCTGACTCTCTTGATTTTGTAATAAGTTCACTTCGACGTTCATTTACCATTCTGAAAACTCCAGGGCCCTTAAGAAGTATGCAAAAATCTACTTTCCCTATGCTTTATAAATGGAACAACAAAGCCTGGGTGACAGTACATCTGTTTACAGCATGGTTTCCTGAATATTTTAAGCCTACTTTTGAGACATACTGCATAGAGAAAAAAGATACCTGTCCAAATATTACTGTTCATTGACAGTGTGCCTGCTAACACAACATCGATTCTGCAGCCCATGGATTAAGGGACATTTTTGACTTTCAAGTCTTATTAGTTAAGAAATACATTTTATAAGGCTACAGCTGCCATAAATAGTGATTCCTCTCGTGGATCTGGGCAAAGTCAACAAAACCCCTTCTGGAAAGGACCCATTATTATATTATATTATATTATATTTATATTATATTATATTATTTTTCTCACACAGAAAGACAACATGGATTCATCATTTTAAATGCCATTAAGAATATTTGTGATTCATTGGGAGGACATCCAAAAATGGACATTAACATGAGTTTGGAAGAAATTGATTCCAACCTTTACGAATGATTTGGAGAGGTTCAAGACTTTGGTGGAGGAAATAACTGCAGATATGATGGAAATACCAAGAGAACTAGAACTAGAAGGGCATCTGAAGATATGACTGAATTGCTGCAGTATCATGATCAATAAATGAGGTTGCTTCTTATGGATGAGCAAAGTGGTTTCTTGAGATAGAATCTACTTCTGGTGAAGATGCTATGAACACTGTTGAAATGATAATAAAGGATTTAAAATATTACACAAATTTAGTTGATAAAGTATTGGCAGAGTTTGAGAGATCTGACTTCAGTTTAGAAAGACATTCTACTGTGGGTAAACTGCTATCAGATAGCATTGCATGCTTCAGAGAAGTCTCTTGTAAAAGGGAGGGTCAATTGATGTAGCAAACTTCATTATTGTGTTAGTTTTAGAAAGTGCTGCAGCCATCCCTACCTTTAGCACCACCACCCTGATCAGTCAGGAGCCATCAACATTGAAGCACAACAAGCAAAAAGATAACTGAGGATCACTGCAGGCTCAAGTGAGTGTTAGCATATTTTAGCAATACAGTCATTCAAAATCAAAGTGTGGGCATTGTATTTATAGATATATTGCTATTGCACATTTAATAGACTACTGTATAGTGTAACATAGTTTTTATATGCATTAGGAAACCAAAACATTTGTGTGACTCATTTTATTATGATATTCATGAACTGAATCTTTAGTATCTCTGAAGTATGCCTTCAATGCCATTCTACTTATTTTCTAATCACATACAAATAGAATCATAGTGTCTTAATTTTGTTTGCCAGAAGCACACCCTCAGGTATGGACTATAATGCAAGTAGTTGATTTGGAAATTGTGCCACAAAAACCCAGTAGGGGAGCTGGGAACTGAGATGGGGGTGGAAAGGAGGCCAGCTCAGGGTTGTTACTAAGGAGGTTACCACTGTGGGCAACTATATCCTACTCACACAGAGGAGCTCTGAGAGCCAGAGTGGAGTTGGTTGCCCAGGTTGGTTTCAAGCACTTAGGCTCAAGAAGGGGGTCTCCCTATGTTGTCCAGGCTGGTCTCAAGTGCTTGGGCTCAAGTAATCATCCTGCCTTGGTCTTACAAAGCCCTGGGATTATAGGCATGCACCACCACACCAGGCCCATCCTTTTATACTTGAAAGGTTAAATTGATATATATTGCCCATTATTAGAAAAAGATGTCATAGATATGTTAAGCAATATCATTAACTTCTTCAGATATTTATTTTTCACTGTGAAGCTGAATGTTTAAGCAATAAGATTGTATTCCTGTCTAGTCTTCCTTAAAAAATTAGAGTGGCATTATTCTAAGAAAAGGAATGTTATTACCCTACTGTTGTGTCTTTTTAGAGAACAACTTAAATAGTATGGGAAAGTCACCTACAACAAGGCTGGCAGGTTTAAGCTTGAGTGTGTGCAGTGTTTGTGTCGTGCTGTGCTTAAAATTATCACAGAGAAAATACCTTTGTGAAAATGACTTTAAACCACCACTCCCTCCAAAACAAAAAGGCCAATAATATCATTATGTGAAAAATGGCTATAACTTCCCTGCATCCGTGAACTGCATTTACATTTACTTTGTTTTTTATTTCTCTCTCCCCTTTAATGTTAGGCCTCTCCCTTATGATGAAACAGTCGCATGATGTCAGTCTCAAGGAGGTTTGAAAAACTATTCCATTGTGCACGTTTTACAGTGAAGAAAATGGACACTCCTAAGACTAAATGAATAACTTTTAAAAAACGCCTGGGTCTGGTACACACATCTTCTAAAGGTATGGTTGAATTATAAATAATTTACTAAAAATTATTATCAGTAATATTCTAGATTTTGAATGAAATAACAAAATAATAACTGGTGTTAGTCCCATTACTTTTTCCCAAGCTTTCTTAAAAAATGTAGTTCAAAACCTGAAAAATGATTTACCTGTTCTTAAATATTTCCAAATTCCTGACTCATGAAATTAATTAGTTAAAAACAATACATATATGAAGACTCCAAAAGTTATTGTAGGCACTTTAGGAAATTATCTGTTCAAGAATCTATTTGTTCATATTTGAGAGGATTGACTTAATGAATGTATTTCTCTAATTTCTCTGTGCAAATTTTGCACTTCCAAATTGAGAACAGCAAATTTCAAATTGAGAACAACAAATTTCAGCAATGTATGATAGACCAGTGCTGCAGACTTTATCTGCTTCAGTAGCACTGCCAAGTGAATTATTAAAACATCTAAAAATTGCCTCTTATCCATTGTGGCTTACTCCAGTGAATAGAATTTAGAGTAAAAATCTATTTCACCTAGTACATCTCATTTAATTCCCATGACAACTCTGTGAGAGAAGAGATTTGATTATTTATTAGTGGACATAAGAGACAGTCTCTGAGATTTGCTCAAGGACACAGGTCTCACTACACAGCAGTCTTATTTAAAAATAGAGAACTCTCAATAATACCTGCAGTTTAGATTAAGCTTGTCCAACCTATGGCCCTTGGGCCACATGTGGTCCAGGATGGCTTTGAATGCAAATTCATAAACTTTCTTAAAACATTATTAGATTTTTTTTGTGATTTTTTTTAAAGCTAACCAGCTATCATTAGTGTTAGTGTATTTTATGTGTGGCTGAAGATAATTCTCCTTCTTCCAATGTGGCCCATGGAAGCCAAAAGACTGGGCACCCCTGGTTAGATAATAGTATTATACCAATGCTAATTTTCTTAGTTTTGTTAAATGTACCATGGTTTCATATTAATAGAATGTTAATGTTAGGGAAGCTAACATTAACTAGGAAGGGTATACCCTGTACTATCTCTCTCTTCAACTTCCATATAAATCTAAAAATATTTCCCTCCCTCCCTCCCTCCCTCCCTCCCTCCCTCCCTCCCTTCCTTCCTTCCTTCCTTCCTTCTTTCCTTTCCTTTCGACAAGCTGCTGCTCTATCACCCAGGCTGGAGTGCAGTGGTGTGATCACAGCACACCAAAACCTCGAACTCCTGGTCTCAAGCAATTCTCCTGCCTCAGCCTCCCCAGTACTGTGACTACAAGCATGTGCAAATCCTGAGCTAGCTATGTTGCCAGGGCTGGTCTTGAACTCCTGGCCTCAAGCAATCCTCCTGCCTCAGCCTCCCAAAGTGCTGGGATTACAGGCCAGACCCACCATGCCTAGTGCAAAAGTATAAAAATTTAAAAATAGATCTTCTAATTATTTCAAAGTGTATTCGCATTTTATTTTATTATGTTATTTTGGCGGGGGGCAGGGTCTCACTCTGTCACCCAAGCTGGAGTGTATGGTGCAATCACGGTTCATTGTAGCCTTGATGTCCCAGGCTCAAGTGATCCTCCTTGGGCTCAAGTGATCCCCTCACCTCAGGCTACCAAATAGCTGGGACTACATGCACGTGCCACCATCCCCAGTTAGTGTATTAGCATTTTAGATCAGTCAGGGTAGAATATAATCTTTCCTCTTACAGATGGGGAAATTGGTACCAACACTGACTTTCCCCAGCTCAGACCAGGCTCAAGTCTCCCAGTTATGGAGGTGGTTATTCTGTAGCACCTACCTGACATGTAAGGGATATGTAGAAATCTCCTTTTATTCAAAAAGTATATCAGTAGGCCCACAGATCCTACCTACACTTAGGAGCACATACAGATTGATGTGTGCAATTTGTTGCAGTTCCTAAGTTCCTCATATCTGTGAATCAATTTTCCCATTACATGGCTATTCAGACTATGTGCACCCCCAGCAATTACTCCCATCTGGTTCCTGTGCTGCTGAAAGTCACTTTCTCCCTTACTCTACTTCTGCTACTTTTCATTGCAACTGCAGCCTTCCTCCCATTTTAATTTGGTTTATCCCCTTGCCTTTCTTCTTGAAGTCCATTGAGTGAGGTTATGAGGGTCACACTCAAAGCAGAAGTTTGAAGACATGTGTTTCTCTCTACTTCCTGCCCTTTAAGAGACATCTCAGTTCAGCAAGATTCAAGCACAGCTTACCTGGTATACTCTCCTCTCATTCATGGGCCCTAGGAAGAGAGAGAAAGCACACGTCTTCCAACTTCTGCTTGGAGAGAAGCACACATCTTCCAACTTCTGCTTACCTGATATATTCTCCTCTTGCTAGTAAGTGAAAGCACAGGTCTTCCAACTTCTCCACTGACTGTGACCCTCCCTACATCCAGCTATTTGATATAATTCTATACACCAGCGAAGAATGCATGTAGATAATTACATTGCTCCCATTTAAACCCTGACAGGAATTGGGTTCTGATTTTTTCCTTTAACTCAGTTCCTTCCTCCCTCACCTTCTGTTGACTTTCAGCTTCTGAATACTCCTGCACTTGGCTATTGGAAAAATCCTGTGATACCTGTTCTTACTTAGCATACTTTAAGGGGGAAAAAAGATAAAGGGGCATAAATGCATCATTGCCAGTTTTCTTGTCTTTTCACAAAGGTATAGAACTTCAAAAGAGAAAGAGTAGTAAAAGTCATTCCCATTTTTGTATTTTTCATGCTCCCTTTCAGTTTTGTTTCATACAGTAAAAGAATAAACACTATTTTTTTTCTACTCATTCTCATCTCAACTTTTGACACTAATTAAAGAGGAAAAACATTTTTTCTCTATTCAGTACTTAGCTTTTCACACTACCAGGGTTAGTACAGACCCCACAGGTTAAGGGCTCAGTCTCAAAATATCACCCCCACTTCAGGCGCCAATTTCAAGTAGTTCATCCCCACTGACTCAAAATTCTGCCTGCCTTAGCTACAAATCAGGGATTCCTATAAGCCCTTCCTCAAGTTTGATGATTTGCGATGGTGACTTACAGAACTCAGGGAAACACTTACATTTACTAGTTTATCATTGAGGATATTATAAGAGATACAGGTGAATACGCAGATGAAGTGGTACACAAGGCAAAGTCTGAAAGGGTCCTGAGTACAGGAGCTTCTGTCCCCGTGGGATTGGGGTGTGCCACTCACTGGTATGTGGATGTGTTCACCAACCTGGAAACTCTCTGAACCCCATCTCTTAGGGATTTTTTATGGCGGTTTCATCACATAGGCATGATCAATTATTAATTCAATCTCTGGCCCCTCTTCCTCCTTGGAAGATACGGGAATGGGGCTGAAAGTTCTAAGCTTTCAATCATGGTTTGGTCTTTCTGGTGATCAGTCCCCATCCCGAAGCTATTTAGGGACTCACCAAGAGCTGCCTCATTAAAACAAAAGGTGCTTCTATTGCCCAAGACATTCTAAGGAGTTTGGGAGCTCTATGCTGTGATCTGGGGGTGGCGATCAAACACATATTTCTTGTTATGTCACAATATGCACAGGTATCTTACACAATTATACTATATAAAGTCTACTTTGTATTTACTTTTGTCCTTTAACATTATATCATATGTATTTTTCCATTTTGCTGCAACTGTTGTAATGTTCATTTTAGTAGATGCGTAATATGCATAATTTACAGTGTCAACTGTGTCAGATGTTTAAAATACATCATTTGATTTCATTCTCATAAAACCTTATAGGACAAGTATTGTTTTATTCATTTCACGAAAGTAAAAACTGAGGCTGATAGGAGTTAAGTAACTCACTTAAATGTATGCATCTAGTGAGGGTTAGGACAGGATTCAAACCAAGGTCTGTTGACTCCAAAGTCTACATTATTACTTGTCAGATAATAGAGTGAGAATCCACAGAAGAACTTCAGGCTCAACCAGGAGTTCAGTACCCCAGAGATTCTGGTGGCCTCACACCACACCATCTAGGGAATTGAAAAAAAGTAATTACACTGAGTCTTATCTCCAGAGACTCCGATTTCATTGGTCTAGGTATAATCTGGGACTATTAAGTAACTCCCCAAGTGTTTTACTGTCCAGCCAGAATTCAGAACCACTTCTCTCCACTGTGATAGCTTTACTGTGGAGACAATGAAAGCAGAGAAACACAGTTAAACTGCACCTGAAATGAATAATTTAACTTTAAAAGTGTTTTATAAGTTACACGCTTCCTGCCAAATTGTGGAAGTCTATTCATATAGGTTTGAGAAGTTAGCATAGAGGTGTATTAATTATTGCCATGGATGTAATTAACTCTTGCAAAGCATGTTATGAGAAGAGAAAAAGGCCAAGAACAAGGCCCTGGGAGATAATATTTAAGAGATGCGGAAAGGAAGAGCAGAAGAGCTATAGTGAAGATTATTTCCAGGATTTTTCAATGCTAAATGCTGCAGAAAGGCCATGTGGGAGAAGGACTGTAAAGTACCCATTGGATTCAGCAATAAGTCCTCACTGGAACTTTCATAGGAGAATACTCATGGAGTAGTACAAGTGAACCAGACTTTCAGTGAGTTGAGGCAAATGTGGGAGGTAAGGAAGTGGATATGATCTGTATGGACTTTCCTACAGAAATTTGGACTTTAAATATGTTATCAATATGTTTTCAGCTGTAAGTATGAGAATATCCAAATTAAAAGTGGCTTATACAATAGAGATCTCCACTCAACACGCGCGCGCACACACACACACACACACACACACACACACACACACTGTGTAATAAGAAGCTAGAGGTGGGTAGTTCATAGTTTTAGACTCTGGTTGGCCTCTTTGGGATACTTTTGGCCACCCTTAATGGTCATAAGTGTGGGGGATAGGTTAGAGTGGTAAAAGAAGCTATAGGGAAAGAAGCAGACCTTTTGAAAGGTCAGAAGGCTTTGCGAAGTGTCCAGGGAGAATAAGCTGAAGGCAGCTGTTCTCTTACCCCAAAGCAGAGGGCAAGAAGTAGGTGCAAGGAAATGCAGGGGAGTTTATCTAAATAGGTTTGTTTACGTTGTCTGGAAACTGACCTTTGATCATCCACATGAGAGACTGCTCCCTGAAAGTGGGAACAACAAGATTACTTAACCACAGATTGTGTTGGCTCCAGGCTTTTGGCATTATGTCCGTGCTGAATAAAAGTGAGCAGTGCCAGCTTGTCAAGATGGTTCACTCTGGGCAAACCCCTAGTGCTCTTTCACTGCATACCTGTGTCTGAGTGCTCCTTTCATTCATCACTTAGCCAGAGTCTGTGGGACAGACTTAGCACATAAGATGTTGGAAACATCTCCAAATATCATGTCCTCAACATGAAAATGTCTAGGAGGGTAACTCTCCTCATAGGTTTCTCTCTTACCAGGGAGAAAACCTTCCTGAAAGCCTCCAGTGGACTTGTCCTAATGACTCATTGGCCTAAACACTCATATCCCTTCCCACAGCTGCAAGGGAGTCTCAGAAAGTGACTATATGGTGTGTTTTTCCTTTACGTTTGGTGGGAGGCTCTGCTTTTAGGGAAGGGGAAGGAGAAGAATGGCTGTATAGCCAACCAAGAGTTCTACAAAGGGTGTGATGAGAGTGTGGTAGCCAGAAAGAGACATGGGCTCAGTGCAAGTTTTTGTTTGTTTTTTGCTTGTTTGTTTTTAACATGGTTGGAACTGATCATGTTTAAATGCCTTTCAAAGAAAAATTATAATCAGAATAGCGAGACTTCTGTGATCATGGAATGCAATGGGACATAAAATATGAGAGATGGGCAAGCATTTCTTCCATTCTAATGGAGAGGAGGAATAATGGAAAAGGTTGGATATAGGTGAATTTATGGGTTTGTTGGGGAGTTGAGAAAATTCCCATCTGATAGCTTCTCTTTCTTCCCTGTGAAGTAAGCAGCTGAGTTATCTGCTGAGAGTAAAGGAGGAGCAGAGAGAGGCCAGGAATCTGAATAAAGTAGACCACAGAAAGAGGGTTGCCTAGGAAACGCAGGATTTCCAGATGATTTTAAGGGCACAGTTGAGGTTTGCTGCTCTCAATTTAAGATTACTGCAATCAGGGGCATTTATGATTTTTCTTCCCTCCAGCCTCACTAGACCTAGTTAGTTACAGGTGTTAAGAACACAGAAGGATTAACATATCAGGGAACTTCCTGCACAGGGGTGATAAAATAAATGAGGCAAAAGAAGATATTATCAAAAGAGAAATCAGAGTAATACAATACAGAATCTAAATGGGAAGAAAGTGGAAACAGAGGAGTAGATATACCAGGAGAAAGTCAAAGGACCAAAGGGTCAGAGGTACTAAGGTGGCCAAATAAATGATATATTGACCATGAGTGAGGGAAATGGAAGCTAAGGCTCACCAAACAGTCTGGATTTATTTCGGACTTGGCACTGTTCTGAATGTTAACAAAGTTCAAAATGTGAAATGGGAATGAGTGGCTGAAGCAGAATGAAGAAGAAGAATTGAAAAGTCATGGTATTAGAAGAGTAAACTATGTAGGCTTGGTCCAATTTGTAAAAATAAAAGTGGATGAAATAAGGACTTTTCAAGTTTCAATGTGCATGTGAATCCCCTGGGTATTTATTAAAATGTAGATTGACATTCGGTAGCTTTGGGGTGAGGCTTGAAATTCTGCATTCCTGGCCGGGGAAGGTGGCTCATGTGTAATCCCAGCACTTTGGGAGGCTGAGGCAGGCAGATCACGAGGTCAGGAGATTGAGACCGTCCTGGCTAACACAGTGAAACACCATCTCTACTAAAAACACAACAATTAGCTGGGCATGGTGGCACACATCTGTAGTCCCAGCTACTTGGGAGAGTGAGGCAGGAGAATTGCTTAAACCTGGGAGAGGGAGGTTGCAGTGAACTGAGATTGTGCCACTGCACTCCAGCCTGGGCCACAGAGCAAGGCTCTGTATCAAAAAAAAAAAAAAAAAAAAAAGGAAGAAAGAAATTTTGCATTGCTAACAAGGTGATGACCATGCTGTTGGTCTAGAGATCCATACTTTGAGCACAAGTCACTGGAGAATCTTAACACTGACTTCTGCATATACTGTCATCTTTTAAATATTCTTCTATCCCACTTGGCTGATGGAGACCTTCAGACCTTAGAGGCTAGGTGCTACTTGGTCCCTCCTACTGCCTGGGGGTGAAGAGCTTGATGCAACTATAAATCCATCCATAATCCAGACTGAGCCAATCGAAACTCCTTGTGAGAATCTGAACTGAGAAATAGAGACTGGGCCTGCCAAGAAGTGGTGGACACTGGAGCTGTAAGGTCATTCTCCTTGAGTTTAGCACCAAAACAAACTAAGGGCATATGCAAGTTGAAGTTTTGGGAAAGTAGTGATCATGAGGAAGCAGAGGAAGCTGGTTTTTAGGAAAACAATTGGAGCTGAGGCACAGAATATTGATGAGACAAGAATAAGCAGCTCTAGAGTGGAAAAGTCATGATACCTTACTCAACCATCCACCTCAAACATGCCTTCCATAGATATCTGAACTCTCTAGACTGGCTTTTTGCCTCTCCTTCTTGTCTTGGCTAACTCACACTCCTTTTGGGTCTTCATTTAGAAGACTTCCTGGGGAAAACTTTTCCTGCCACCTGAAACTACTGGGTATCCTCCCATGTATCCCCATAGCATCCCATTGTGTCCAGTTCACAGCCCTTGTCACCATTTATGACAGCCACCATTTGGATACCTACTATTTGTTGGTGTCTTATATATTCTTTATTAAATACATTTTTAAAAAACCAGTTGAACATAGACACTATAGTTCCACTTATTTTGATCTTCACTTTTTACATTTGAAGGCGCTCAAGAGAGGTTAGATAACTTGTCTAAGATCACATAGCTTGTCGCTGGTGGTATCAGAGTTTTAGGGCAGAAACGATTAACCTCAAAGCTTGTGCTCATAGCCACCATATCTCTTTTCTGTAGATTGTAATTATGCATCTCTGTTTTCCACTCTAGCTTCAAGACTATGACTATGCCTGTGTCTTCATCACTGTATTACCATGTCTGGTAGTTGTCTGGTACATAGCAGATTCTCAAAAGTATGTTGTTGAACGTGGCTGAATGTGAGTGTATAAAGTTATTTGTACGACCAGTCAATCTTCTAAGATAACTGGGTGCAGGATTATGCAGGATTGCTGTTTTATCAGAAAGTCCTGAACGAACAAACATGATTTGTAAAATATATAAATTGTAGATCAGATATGCACCATACTAATTCTACTCCGTGTTGCAAATTCCAGATCTATGTATGTACAAGGTTTTTAGGCCATCCCTTGTCGTAAACTGCTGGGTGGATGCCTGGAATCATGGCTTGGATTCTAAATGCTGTGTGGGTACAACTTCCAACCCAGACCCTCCCTGCACACAAACTTTTCATAGTTCTCTTCAATCTAGGTGCTATATAGCGTCCTGATAATCCAGCGTAGCTGTATATTTTTCCTAATATTTATATATGATTCGAAATGTAGAGTGACGTTGTTACTTTTCATGACCTGTTCACTTCCAGTTGTCTATGCCCTAAAGCCTGGACGAGGAGATTGGCACGGGAAGCACTGGCTCCATTGCTGCAAACTTGCTTAGTCAGCACCATCACTGGCGGCATGAGTGGACAAGTCAAGTAAGTATCTAGCACTACTGCCTCCTGAGTGTTTCTGTAAACAACATAAGATCTCTGTCACAGAACAAAGCAAGACAAATATGCAAACAACCCTAAACCAAAATTACCAGTGACTGCCATTCTGTCCTCGTTAAGCGAAGACTGAGGGAGTTAAAGCAGGTTGATTGTTTTTAAAATGATTTCAGCCAGGTGTAAGGTTATCTGCAGAAATGTGCTTTGCCCACGTGGATCGCACGGACGCTAATTACTAAGAAGCTGAGAAACCTGTAGCCGCGGAGATTGGCCGCCCCACCGGGAATAATAAGCTGGCACCTCAAGAAATAAAGCTCCGCAGCCAATGTGGCGCCTCGGCCAGCGGGATTGGTGGCCTCAGTTATGACGCGACCTGGGCTGGGCTGGCCGGGCAGGCTGTAGACGGAGGCCGCGGGTCCGGGTCGGGGGAGCTGAGAAGCAGCGGAGAAGGAATCTGCAGCGCTGCGCCGGGACTGCGAGCCCACCTTCGGCCAGCGAAGAAGGTCTATTCTCACTCATCTGGCCCGCATCCCCCGGCCGCGGCACCGAATCCCCGCGCTAGTGTGGACCCAGGGCCCGCGCTCCCCGGCGAGGCCAGGGCTCCCCAGTGTGCTGGCTCCAAGGGGATGCCCAGGTTAGGCGGGAGCGGGGCCAATCTGGGCAGGGCCGAGGCGGGATTCTCCCTCTAGCTGTGCCCAGACCACACTCCTGCTGCGGTTCCGGCAGAGAGCGTGGCGAGAGCAGCGGCGGGAGGTGCGGCGAGTACGCCGGCCGTGGGTAGCTGCAACACCGGAGACGGATCCAAGTTGCTCGGCTCGGCCCCGGCAGCGACCTGAACCCGCTGCGCTGCGGGAGGGGTGTGCGGAGCGCTGGGCTGTGCCTCCGCAATTTCACTTCTCCCGCCGCTGGGGAACGGAGCAGGGGAGGCGCAGAGGGCTAGGAGAGGGGTTCGCAATGCGTTCTTCCAATAAACTTTTTCTCCCTTGAACGTGAAGGAATACGTGCTCACTGTAGAAAATTGAGAAAACATGGGAAATTACCGTGTAAAAAATGCGGGAGGGCGAGGCATGGGAGTCACTCTGGCGCGGGGGGACAGCGATTCGCTGTGCTAACCTCAGCCGGGTGCGAGCGGCGGGCGGCGCTGCCCTAGGGACCCGGGGGGCGGAGAGCCGTGCGGCGCCAAGGGCTGAGATTTGAGGAAGTGGGAGCTGCCCGGGCGGGGGCGTCCCGCTGAGAGTCCGCCACGCAGCGTTTGTTTCCTTTCACTTCCTGCGGCAGCAGCTGTAGATGAGGAGGTGCCCGTGGCCGGGGCAGAGCGGACGGATTCTTCGTGTGTGAGCGCCCACCCACCGCCGGCACCAGCGCTTCCTTGACCACTCAGGTTCGGCTATGCGGGAGCCGTGAGGAGGAGGCTTGCGGCGGTGGACCTGAGAGCTCGGGACGTCATGCTGGCTTGCTTTTAAGTGGCTTGGGGAAAGTGAAGAAACCCCAAAATGGAGGACTTCGCTACCAGGACCTACGGCACCAGTGGCCTTGATAACAGACCTCTGTTCGGGGAGACGTCCGCCAAGGTGAGTTCGGACTGTGGCTCCAGGAGCGGATGGGGGTGTGTTCGCGCCCTAGGGCTCCAGGAGCGGATGGGAGGAAGGGTGTTTGCCGCCCGCCCTCCCGCCGAGTCCCGGCTGGGTCTTTCTGCTGCTCCTTAAAGCACTTTTAGGGAGGAAGCTGGTTCTGCAATCCCGCTTCCCTCTCAGGATGTTTGCCCGGCCACTTGTCGCCTGCTTTCGGACATGGTTGGCCAAGAGCCTTGAAGGCCGCAGAAAAGTTCAGAAAGTTCTGGGTGGTTGGAAGCCCTTCTGGAGAGTGCGGAAGCCTCTCTGGAGGGGAGGTTGATTTAGTGGTTGCACAGCTGCACCTTCAGCAGGAGTACTGACTTTCCAAAGGCTTCAGGTGTGCACCCACAGCTTCCTGAGAGAGCAGAAAAGGGGTGCTTCTGATTCCTGTTTACAGAACTCTTAAGGGTTTGCTGCTGAGCAGTGAAGCAGCAAGCAAGGAAAGAGGGGAGGGACTTGAGATGAGGGGTTCTAGCAATGATAGCTTCCATTCCAGGAAGTGATCAAAGGGTCCCTGAACCCAAACAAACTATCGTACATTTTTCTAGACTTTAAAAAGCATAACATCTTTTAAAAAGGATTAATTATGTGATGTGCTGGGCCAACAATTGAGGAGAGATCTTTTTCTGTTGTCAGCATTAACTTTCTGAGTACTTTGGGCAAGATATGCCTAGTTTATTTTTTCACCTAGAAAGTGGCATTGGTTTGTCCCAGTGCAGTGTTGCTGCCAACTGATCACAGCCAGTTACAGATTTCTTTTTTCCTTCTCCAATCCCCCTGCTTCCACTTGACTGGCCTAAACGGAAAAAAAAGGTGGTATTGGTGATCTTGGACTTTTGATAAACTGCTTTCAGCTCTCGAAAGGTAATGCACATGTAGAGTCCAGAGCTTCCAGGATTTCTTAGTTTTGGCAGGAGCCCTCCAGCAGACAGGATAGGGAACTGGTACACCTAGCAGTCTGGAGGATAGCCCTGAATTTGGAAGCTGTGAGGCTGCCACAGGACTACTTTATTTTTTTTATTTTTTTGAGACGGAGTTTCGCTCTTGTTACCCAGGCTGGAGTGCAATGGCACGATCTCGGCTCACCGCAACCTCCGCCTCCTGGGTTCAGGCAATTCTCCTGCCTCAGCCTCCTGAGTAGCTGGGATTACAGGCACGCACCACCATGCCCAGCTAATTTTTATATCTTTAGTAGAGATGGGGTTTCACCATGTTGACCAGGATGGTCTCGATCTCTTGACCTCGTGATCCACCCGCCTCGGCCTCCCAAAGTGCTGGGATTACAGGCTTGAGCCACCGCGCCCAGCCGACTACTTTATTTTTTAAACTCCACATGGATTTTACTTTCTCTTTTCAATCAAAATGTTTTAATATGGAAAGCATTTTAAATTCTATCTCCAGGAAGATGCACCTTGTTCATCTTGTGGCTTTGTGTAATCCCAGACCACAGTGCTCCTGGTTTGAGACGCATACCTCCTCTAGTAGATGTTCCATCTTATGCAAACGTTATTGAGCATTATGTATTTAGCCCTTGGGAGCCAATGAACCCTGTCAGGTGAGGAAAAAAAATGTAGACAAGCGTTATGTGGTTGGATCTGTGCTATGACAGAGACATGTTGGGGTAGAGACGAGAACTGGTTGCTTTTGTATGGGAAATTTGTCCATCGGTCTCAAGAGCTAAGAGAGGGCATCCCCGACATATTTCAGTACATAGATTGGGGGTCTGGGTGATCCAGACCCCTGACCTCTTTTCACCCATTGCTCTTGTAATTATAGAGGTAGATGACTTTGATAATGGACTCATCCATTTATGCAGACACTTAGAAATATTGATGTTTTTCTAATTAGCTTGGGACAAAACGTCCAATGACTTAAGTTTCCTATTGCCCATGATCCATTTGAAAACCGTCCAAGAACTTTACTATTTCAAATGAATCTTTTGTTGCATATTTACTTATTATAAGAATATATCACACTGCGATTATTTAGGAAACTTTAGGGCATTGTAATCATAGCTTCAGCTATTCAGAGAAAAAAGTTAATACATATTAATTCCTGATCTCTCAATACTTCTCCCTTTAGCTCTCTCTATCAAGTGAACAGGGTGATTGGACATAGAGAAATCCATGGAATAAAGAAGGGAGAGAGACCCCTAGTCTGAGGGTGGGAAAAGACATGTATCTTACAAACGGAGATGCTACACTGGAGAGAAGGGAGGCATCCATGTGTGTTCACAGCAAATGAAGATTTGAGGGCCTGAGGAGGGTGAGGCCCAGGAATGGAATCAGTAGTGAAAGGATAGGACATGTTACAGTAGAGCCATTTCCACAGAGGACAGTAACTGTTAGAGCAGGGTCCTGGGGACACTGAGAAACCCATCACTTGCCCTTGTGTGTGGATGTCTCCAGCTTGCTGTTTTACATGCCAGGAAATGACACAATAGCCACTTGACAGTGGAAACTTGCTGTTAGTGAACTACCAGTTCTGAGAAAATCGAGGAAGCATAAAGCCCAGTTCCTGTCCTAGTCTGACAGGTGGTTTCCTGTGCATTTTGTAATCTTACTTGCTTTATGAGAACTGATAGAAATAGCCTCTCAACTTTAGGTGCAAACTCTAACTGTAAGACAAAGAGAACTGAAGCTCAAAGAGCAGAGAAGAGTGCATTTGTGTTTCCTTGGTGCGGGGCAACATGGTGGGCATTCAGCTTTCCCTTGTTTGATCATCAGCTTCCTTTGTGAGATGGGTATTCTTATTTCTGTTATACAACTAAGGAAGTGGAAGAACCCTCAGAGAGGGTTACTTGTTCAGTCATAAAAGTGGTTTCCTCTGGTAATGTTTCACCAGCTTCCTTTCATGAGTTGAATAGTGAGGTCAGTAGTAACTTAGACAGTTTTTGCTTTTCAAAGCACTCCAGACATCTGTATAACCTGTGGCCCTTTCACAGAACATAGGAGTTAAAGTGGTTTGCCTCAAGTCGTGAGGTGACTGAGAGATAATGAAATCTATTATAGAACAATGAATATTAATATATAACCAAGTTGGCCTTGAGCAGCATCCTGTTGGGGAAATCACTCAAGGAACGTTTGTCTTTGTGCTGGGTGCACATAGTGATTTCAGTTACTGAAATCCCGGATTCCATCTTCAGCATGAAAATTGTTCATTCCAAGTGTATTTCTATCTAGGAATAGCTTTACAGGCATAGTCATAGAAAGGCAAAATGAAACAGTTTTCTATTCCATAAATATCTAAAGGATTTTTTTTTTCTTTGAGGCAGGGACTCATTTTGTCACTCAGATTGGAGTGCAGTGGCACGACCACCGCTAACTGCAGTCTCCACCTCCTGGGCTTAAGTGATCCTCCCACTTCAGCCTCCTGAGTAGCTGAGACTATAGATGCTTTCTACCAAGCCCGGCTAACTTTTTAATTTGTTGTAGAGATGGGGCTTCCTGTATTGCTTAGGCTGGTCTCAAACTCGTGCCCTCAAGCTGGTCTCAAACCTCGGCCTCTCAAAGTGCTGGGATTGTGCCCATCCTAGGGTTTATTGACAAAAAAGGAAAGGTGTTCATTTTTGTAGGAAACATAGACCTCATTCCTTGAAACCTATGGAATTTTTATGTTGTTAGGTTGGCTGTCTGATGAATCCTAGTTTGAATGCCCAGATGATTTTTACATCTTTTTTAAACCATTCCCAAGTATTGCACTATAATACTTCTCTTTCAGGTTAGAAATATGGCACAGATACCAAGATGGTAAGAACTATCTGAAGTTTCCAAGTCTGTGTTGTGGCTTAGCATTTTCTGAAAGATGCTATCCAGTAGAAATATGATGTGAGCAGCCATATATGTAATTTATATTTCTTAGTAGCCATATAAAAAAGTATAAACAAATGAAGTACTAATAACTTTTACCCCATATTTCCAAAATATTAATACTATCATTTCAACATATAATCAATACTAAAAAAAATTTTAGCCGGGCACGTTGGCTCATGCCTGTAGTCACAGCACTTTGAGAGGCTGAGTTGGGAGAATCACTTGAGCCCAGGATTTTGAGATCAACTTGGGCAACATAGGAGATCCTGTCAGTATGAGGGGGAAAAAAAAACAGCTGGGCATGGGGGCATGGTGGAACCCACTTGTGGTCCCAGCTGCAGACTTGCTCCACTGTGCTCCAGCCTGGGTGACAGAACAAGACTGTCTCAAAAAACAAATTGAGATATTTCTACAATTTTTTTGTACTAAGCCTTTGAAATCCCGTATGTATTTTACACTAACAGCCCACCTGAATTCACTCTAGCCATGCTTCAGATGCTCAGCAACTACATATGGCTAATACAGGCTGATGTCCCAAATCCAAAGTATGAAATGTTCTAAAATCCAAAACTTTTCCAGCACTGACTTGAAGTTACAAGTGGGAATTTCCATGCAAAAGTACTTAACAAAAAGTTTGTTTCATGCACAGAAATTTTTTAAATACTGTATAAAATTTGCCTTTCAAGCTATGTATACAAGATATACGTGAAACCAATTTCATGCTTAGACTTGTGTCCCACCCCAGGGTCTCAAGTATATATAAATATTCCAAAGCCTGAAGACAACCTGATAAAGGATCCCAGCCATTTCAGACAGTTTAGTTATACAGCAGCTGAAGTGTTAGTCATGGTGGTTCCATAGCTGCATTTATGAAACATTTTTTTTTATTGTGGGACTCCTGGAAGGTTTAATATGCCAGTTTTCATTGTGACTCTAGTTGGTGAGGGTGGGTAGGTAGCACTTCCTAAACTGTTTAGGTGGTGTGGCCTTTTTAGCCCTAGCTCAGTGCCTTACCCAGTTCTTACCTCTGGCTCCATGGTTCAGTAAATTTCCTTCCTCTGCTTTTCCCTCCCCTCCTGTCCCCTAGTGTGAAGTAAAACCTGGAGGTAGTCTCCCCTCTTCTGCCGACAACTACCTGTAAAAGTT